GAGGACGGCCGCCAGCATTTTCGCTTCGACCGCGCCAGCGGCCGCCTCGTCGTGGCCGACAGGCTGGACCGGGAGCAGCTGTGCGGCCAGGCCGACACCTGCACGCTCCCCTTCGAGCTGCTGCTGGCCGACCCGCTGCAGTTCTTTCGGGTCGAGGTCACCCTCGACGACATCAATGACCATTCGCCCGTTTTCCCTGAGGAAAGAGTCACTTTTGACATTCCTGAAACGAGTGACCCGGGCTCTCGATTTCCTCTGGACGTTGCTCAAGACTTTGATATTGGCAGCAACAGTGTGCAGGCATACAGCATCGCTCCTGAGAACGAATACTTCACTGTCTCCTATGGGAGTCGGATTAGGGGCAAGAAATATGTTGAACTTGTTTTGGAAAAGCCCCTAGATAGAGAGGAGCAGGCAGAGATGGATTTCAGTCTCATTGCAGTAGATGGAGGTTCTCCACCAAGAAGTGGGACCACGCAAATTCACATTATAATTTTAGATGCGAATGACAACGCTCCTGTCTTCACACAGGAGCTGTATAATGTGCAGGTTTTGGAAAATACACCCGAGGGTTCTGCGGTTCTAAATGTGTTGGCAACAGATCAGGACGCTGGCGTTAATGGGGACATCTCCTATGAGATCAGCCAAGCAGTCAGTCAGAGTGACTCAGCATTTGTGATTGACTCCAGGAGTGGGGAAATTAAACTCTCAAAGACTCTGGACTTTGAGGCAGCACAGACTCACGAGCTCAGTGTGAGGGCCAGAGATGGTGGGGGACTTTCAGCAATCTGCAAGGTGTTGGTGGAGGTGTTGGATGTGAATGACAACGCACCCGAGCTGGTGGTCAGTTCCTTCAGCAGTCCCCTCCCCGAGAACTCCGCGCCCGGCACGGTGGTTGCCCTCTTTACTGTCAGGGACCGCGATACCGGCGCCAACGGCAAAGTGTCCTGTGCCCTCGACCATCAGCTCTTCTTCTCCCTGCGGCCAGCCTATAAGAATTACTACGAGCTGGTGACTGTGAGGGCGCTGGACCGGGAGGACACGGCTCAGCACATCCTCAGCGTGACAGCAGCAGACGCGGGGTCCCCTCCTCTCACTACCACCCACACCTTCACCGTGGACATCTCGGATGTCAACGACA